TTTGGTATAGCCCCCATATAATGGTACCTCCCTATTTTCGGTATTTTGGTGATTTAAACGACATTATTCACCGGAATTGTTTCAAATTTGGCATTTGAAGTTCGTAATGGATACTACAGCCTATGACAGAAAATTGTCTGTGCAGGTCCACGCCTTCGCATGGCCTCCATATAACGGCACCTTCCGATATTCCGTATTTTGATGATTTTGGTGTCATTATTCACCGGAACTGTTTGAAATTTGGTTTTTGAAGCTCATAAAGGATACTACATCCTATGACAGAAAATTTTTTGTGCAGGTCCACGATTTGGTGTAGCCCCCACATAAGGGTACCTCCCTATATTCGGTGGTTTGATGATTTTAGCTACATTATTAACCCAATTTTTTTCAAGTTCGCCTTTGAATATTGTACTACTAAATGTGTATATTTGTTGTTGGATGGAGGAATAGAGATACAATTCTGGATATTGATATTTTGGTTACTAAATGTATCTGCCTTTGAGATTTGGCAATAGTTTTGGATATTCGGGATAAATTTGTGCGTAAAGCACTAAATGGTACTAAATTTGATGTTGGGAAATAATAGATTTCTGTTGGTGTCTGGAATTGAGATATGGAGGTGGTTTTGCAAATGTACTAAATTTGATGTTGTGAAAGAATAGATCTCTGTTGGTGTCTGGAATTAAGATATGGAGGGGTTTTGCAAATGTGTACTCAATTTGTACGAAAAGTACTTAAATTGGTATTGGGTGAAGAAATAGAGCTGAAATTCTGAAATTAAATATACATGTCACTGTTGTTGTCTGTGGTCAATATATGGAGGTGATATTGTAAATGGGTACTATAATTGTTAGAAAAGTACTAAGTTGTACTACATTGTTTGAAGAGATATGGCTGAAATCCTAAAAAGACCACTGTTGGTATAAAGTTTTAAGATATGGAGGTGCATTTCGGAATGCATACTATGATTGTACGAAAAGTATTAAATGGTACTAAATTTGCCATTGAGTTAATGTATAGAGCTGATATAGAGGTCACTGTTAGTTTCTAGGAATTACATTACGATCTAGACCATTGCCCTATTATAATATTCAAAGGAAATATTTTTTTCGCAGAAGATTTTATAGTCATCAATATGTAAGTTTTATTCCTATATTTCTTTTCAAAAAAAATCTATTAAAATCTCTTTACATAGGTATTAAAAATTATTTATTTATAATAATGTGTTTTCTAGACGTTTCTATGAAATTTCGGCAATAAATCTTTTCACACACACTAATTTGTTTACCTTCTCATTAATGGCAAATAATTTTCCCTTTAAATGAAATTAAATGTTTTTTTTTTTTCTCTTTTATAACATTCCAATAAGATTAGAATTCCCAGTAAAATTCATTTAAATCAAATCTAGGAGATACGTACACTCATACACACAAACATACAAAGATACATTGTAACCAAGCCAAGAAACAGTAATGCTGCAAATGCGGCATGGGTGCCTGATACGTAAATACCTACCGAAAATAAAAAAGAATCAGCAGATGCTTTGATAATAATCACAAAAAATATGAAAATATAAATATAAACAGTCATGCATACGTACGTACGTACGTTAAAACAAACAGACTGGCCATAGCGGGCACAGATACACAAACACATGCATAGCACCTAAGGAATGTGGTTGGTATATTCATTGTAGTCGAAAAATGCAAAACCCCACTCTTACACTCTCCCCCAACTGAGAAATATAAGCACATACCATAATCGAATGGAGAGTGAGTGGATGTGTGTGTGCGTGTGGATAAAATTTTGTAACAAAAAGATATAATAAAATAAAAAATTTATCTTTCTAAACGATAACAACAATAACAATAAAAAAGTGTATCTTTGTTGTGTTTTCCAAAGAAAATACAATTATTCGTAACTTCAGTGTTGTCAACTCTGTGATTAAAATGCGCAAATAATTAGGTATTTAACATTAAATTCTTTATTTATTTAGAGATCAAAACGAAGAAAACTCAATAGAATAGTAATTTTAACACCGTTTGCATTAGGTCTTGAATGTTCAGAAATTGTAATGTCCCATGACCTGTACCCGCAAATCTCGGCACGGCAAGTATTTGAAAAGACAACAAGTAAAAAAGCAGCTAAGTTCGGCCGGACCGAACTTTTAGTGCCCTCCATCATTTGAAAAAATGTTGAAAATTTTCATATGCTGTAGTACCCATAGGGAGGTACCGTTATATGGGAGTTATACGAAAACGTGAACCGACATTACCCATTTACGAATTTAGGCTGCCTACTGGTAAACTATGCATTTTGTTTAGCCTTCTATTTCAATTCGTTCGAAAGATAACGTGATTACAACAGACGGACAGACAAGCAGAGAGACGGACATTGCTAGATCGTCTTGGAATTGTACGCTGATCCAGAACGCATCCGCATCTAAACTCTACATATAACAGTGTTCCCTACATTAATATTTAAAATTATAGCTCTTTTCGTTCGATCCATACCAAATTTTGTACCAATACCAATATTTTTCGTACAAGATATAGTACGGATGTCCACATTTACCTCCTTATTAAAACGCTTTGCATTTAAAGTGATCCTAATTCCAAAATTCCAAATTCCAGTTCTATTCCCACACTATATGCCAATTGTAGTACATAAAGGTACGAATTTCCAAAAGACCTATTTCTATACTAAACATCAACATTCCATTCACTCAAAATCACATTGTGTGGAATTTAGTGTCATGTAGTACAGTTCTCATATTTATGTCAAACCTACTTCCCAACCTTGATTCTTAGACCAAAATTAAAGTTTTCACCTCTATCCATTCGGATAATTGGAATTTAGTATATTTAAGCATTTTTAGTTATTATTAGAACTTATTGTTCAAATGTCCAAAAAACCTTTTGGTCATACATCCTCTTTCCAAAATTGCTTTCCCCAAATGCTAATTATAGTACCATTTAGTAATTTTCTTACGTTTTTGGTACGTATTTCCAATTCCACCTCCATATATTTAAATAACAGCGTGAAAATTGATCTCGATACCAAAATTTTAGTTTTCAAATTCCAACAATACCATTTCAGCTCCATCCTTCACCCAAAACCAAACTGTACCAAATTTAGTACTATTTCGCACAGTTCTTACACCTAACACACATTTTCCAAACTATACTTACTTCTTATGCAAACCACAGACCATACAACTGGTTGTACAACTTGGAGAGGTTGTATTCAAGATTGTATCGTTTTTGGGGCGGTTGTACGAAGTTGTGTCTCGGTTGTATAAAAAATCAATATTTTTTGATTTTTGGCATGTTGTACCAACCAATTGTAACGTTTGTGGACATCTCGCATAAAATTTCATTTTGTGTTATTGTTTCGCACAACAAAACAACACGAAATCCAATCAAATGTGTGATTTTAATGTACATATGAAATTGAATTTTAATTTATAAAATAGAATTTCAAAAATTAATAAGAAATAAAGGCTATTGAGTCAATTATAGAGCACGAAATTATATCCGGTGTCATCTTAACTCAAATAAACTCTTCGAAAAGTGAAGTTGTACAAAGAGGTTGTATACAAAGTTGTATCGATTGTGGCCGAAGCATACAACTTGACAACCATCCAGGTTGTATCGTGTGTGGCTTTTATATATATTTATATATATATATATATATATATATATATATATATATATATATATATATATATATATATATATATATATATTCTTGTTCAGCATAAAATATATAGTGTGCCCGACTTCTGCCAATTTTGTGTATGTATTTATTGTTTTAAAAAATAAGAACAAAATATTTTCAAAAACTTTGATTGGAAGAAACGTAGATTATGGGGCGCGCTTCAAAGATATTAACCAGTTTAGCCATGGAATTGAAAGATTGGACACTCTAGATCATATTTTTGAAATAAAATTCAGGTACTTCACATACCTTTTGCTTTGTTAAAGTCATTTTAGAAATGAGGAAAAAAGTGAAATAAATGCAAACAACTTGTTGCATATAATTTTGAATAATTCTGACAGAAAGCGGGCAGAGCTTCAGATCTGTATTTCTATAGTTTTACGAAGCTGTTTTACCTCCTTATTGTACCATGCTACAGCCTATGACAGAAAATTCTCCGTGCAGGTCCACGTCTTCGTATAGCTCCCATATTACGGTACCTCCCGATATTCGGTATTTTTATGATTTTAGCAACATTATACACTGGAATTGTTTCAAATTCTATGATAGAAAATCTGTGTCTGTGCTGGTCCACATTTTGGTATAGTCCCATATAATCGTACCCTCCCTAAATTCGGTATTTTGATGATTTTTCAAGATTCACATTTGAATATTGAAAAGGCTTATGACAAAAGATGCCTATGCAGGTCCACGTCGTCGTTTAGGCCCTAATAAAACGGCTACATTCTGTACTTTTAAGATTTTAACAGATTTTATTTATTTATTTATTTATTTATTTATTTTTTTTTTTTTTCTTGAAAATTGCCAAATTCGTTCCAAATGGTGGAGTTCCCTGCATTTTGAACGATTCAATACTTCTAATCAAATAGATAACATATCTATTGAAACTTCAATACAAATAAGGCAACACATGGTCGCCCGGCTATAGCCTCTGTTCAGGAGTTAGTTTTAAATAACCCTCTAAACTAAAAAAGTTCCTTATGACAAACACTAAAAAACGCAAAGTGGGCATTACTTTTCAAACTGGCAATTATGATGACTGTTAGGCAAACTATGCAATGCACACATACTGTGAGAAAGAGAGAGAGAGAGCGAGCATGAGAGGCATTTTCAATGAAGAGCGAGTGTGAGCTCTGCACGATCTTTCAGATACATTTTAAGGCTGACTTTTGTATTCGACAGATAAACATTGAGAAATGAGTAACGTATCTCAACGCCACAAAGAGCGGCACAAGCGAATGGGAGAGAGAGCAATGGCACATTTGGAAAAATACTTGAGTGTAACGGGCAAATACAATTCATTTAGTAAACGGCTTCACGGCACGGCGTAACGCGTAACGGATGGATGGATTAACGTGAGCACACTTTTATACAACAAAAAAGTAGAAAGAAACAGAAATAAAAATAAAAAAACACAACAGCAAAGAAAGAATTTATGGAATAAGCAAACATCTTCAAGAAAAATCCAACGGAAATATGTGAATTAAATGGAAAAATTTGTGAGATTTTTTCCGTGTGAAGTGTAAAATAATTTTGAAAAACAAGTGAAGCAATAAATTTTTGTGATTGAAAGAAGCTCAAGGGGCTGCGTGTTATAAAAGAAGAAGAAAAAAATTAAACAATTTTTTTTTTGTGGAATGGAATGCAGCAAAAGAGATAGCGAGCGCGAACGCCGCCGTTACAATTTAAAGTGAAAAATTCATGTGCCAGAAAGAGAGGGACAGATTTTGTTGTTTAAATTACACCAAAAGCAAAATAAAATTGTATATCTCCCAGCAATAGCAACAGCAGCAACAACGAAAACAACAACATAGTAGCAGCAGCATTGATTAAGATCCCATTGTGCACAGACTCTCCTCATCATAGATACATGCAAGCAACTTGAAAACTACAAACACACACATTCACATACACACTCGTTCCTACACATGCCAACTAACAAAGTTGTGTGCCAGCCAGCCAGCAATAGGAGAGATACAAGTCCGTTTTATGCTTGATGTTGTTGTAGCATGATGAGATCGTCATTTGTTATTGTTGTATAAATTCAAGTAAATGCTAAGAGAGATACACCACCAACACTTCTTCGATGTAATCATTGGAGTTTTTATGGTGCCTGCTTTTGTTGTTAATCGAGCAACGATAGCAACAACAACAATAAGAATACAGTGAAGAGGAAGCTAAGAATTTAAGATCATCAGCGATGAGATTAGAAAAATTTAAAATAATTTTATTTTGAATACCAACCCAACAGAAATAGGCAAATGCCAATTAAAACAAACGACAAAGTGAAAAAGTGATTATTAAACACACACATACACACCGGAATAATAAGGCCAATATTAATGGAAAATTGAAAAAAAAGTTAAGGCCTCACAAAATATTGTACCAAAATTTAGTGCCTAAAAATTTGTGAAAAAAAAAAAAATTGAAAATTTGAAGAAAAAAAATGCCAAGAAATTAGTGCCCAGTGATAATAGCGAGCTAGTTTGTACCCCCATAGCCCAAGAAATAAGTCATTAATCTTCGTATGGAGAAATTAATATTTATGACAAAAAATATACATATTTTTATACAAAAATAACCTCAATACGCGGTCAAAAATACCTTCAGTGAAACAAAACAAAAAAATCGAAGGAGAAAAAAACAAAAAAGCTAAACACAAAACGAAATTTGAAAAATCGGCGCGCACCTTTTTGTAACAACAAAAAAATAAATAAATTTTGGTTGGTGATAACAACAAAACGTCGTCGTCGCCGTAAAGCAGCGTCGAAAACAGAAACCAAAAAAATCAAAATTCAAATAACGTTTTTCTGTGGACGATCCAAAAAACGACGAACACGGCAAACTAAACAACGGTTTCAAACGCGTTTTCAAACAAACCAGCAACAACAAAATTTGCCCAAAACCAAAAAAAATAAACAACAACACCAAATGTGGAGGTTGACAAAAATGCGGTTGTGAAAATTTTCGAAACAAGTTTGAAACATTTTTGTTTTCGTTTCGTTTAATTTTTTGTGTTGTCTCCCTGATTGACCAGACCCAGACACCAGCCACGAACGACGACAAAACAACGTAACTATGTTGAGGTGGTAAAGTCCCAAAAGTATTTCCCCCACAAAAACAACAACACACGCAATCCTTGCAGAAAAATTTTGCAGGAGAGAAGGAGAACGGGAAAAGAGAGAATGACAACAAGTGAAACTGTTTTGCGATTACCACTTACTGACTAACTGGTGTTTTGGAATCATTGAATTTTTCTTGGATAACATCATCAGCTACTGGGTGATAGCAAAAACAACAGAAGTATCATCTCTCAAACTTCCCAACAATTTACATCAACGACAACGATTCAATTACTTGACAACATCAGCGTTGTTGCAGCAACGCCCAGCAACAACACCGTCGTTTGCAACATTATTATAACATATTTTGTTGTTGTTGTCGTTCTACTCTTCATTTTTTTACTGTTGACAACGTGCAAGCATTTCAAAATTGAAATTATGCCAAATTTACAGCAACTAGCAAACCACCAGCAACAACAACAGTATCAACAATACAATCACAGTCAACCAACGCCACATCAAACCACATCGCTGACAAATGTAGCCGCAGCAACGCAACAGCAGCAGCAACAACATCAGCATGCCAATTTGTCCTCCTCAACAACGCACATCTCTCCACATCCTTATCAGCAACCGCCCCAACACCATCACCCGCACCATTACCAAACAACGTCACAGCAGCAGCAGCATCATCAGTCTCAACAGCATTTGCATCATGGCGAGTTTCCCCTGCCCGATGGCTGGGATATTGCCAAGGATTTTGATGGCAAGATCTATTACATAGATCACAATACGAAAAAGACAACATGGCTGGATCCGAGAGACCAGTAAGTATCCTGAAATACCATTTCAATAAATTGAATATTTCCTCACCTCATAATTAGGAAAATATGAAAAGGATTTTTTAATAAAAATAGTTTCCTAAAAACACTATTTCGGCGTTGGATACCCGTCATTGATTCCATGCATTTTTTTTATGGAACAAAATCTGGCCATAATTGGGATAAATGAATTTGGAAAAAATGTTTAAATTCTGGAAAAGTTAACAATAAATGCTTGCCCTGACATCATCAGGCTGAGCCAATCTACTCTACGGTAGACGGCCTCTGGGGTCATCTACTCTACGGTAGACGGCCTCTGGGGTCATCTACTCTACGGTAGACGGCCTCTGGGGTCATCTACTCTACGGTAGACGGCCTCTGGGGTCATCTACTCTACGGTAGACGGCCTCTGGGGTCATCTACTCTACGGTAGACGACCTCTGTGGTCATCTACTCTACGGTAGACGGCCTCTGTGGTCATCTACTCTACGGTAGACGGCCTCTGGGGCCATCTACTCTATGGCAGACGGCCTCTGGGGTCATCTACTCTATGGCAGACGGCCTTTGGGACATCTACTTTATCCTTACCTAGATTGAGTTTTTTTCTATAGAAAAAAATTTGACCTCAGTTAGACTGAGGTATTTTTTTCTATAGAAAAAAATTTGACCTCATTTAGACTGAGGTATTTTTTTCTATAGAAAAAAATTTGACCTCTACGGTGACGGCCTCTGGGGTCATCTACTCTACGGTAGACGACCTCTGGGGTCATCTACTCTACGGTAGACGGCCTCTGGGGTCATCTACTCTACGGTAGACGGCCTCTGGGGTCATCTACTCTACGGTAGACGGCCTCTGGGGTCATCTACTCTACGGTAGACGGCCTCTGGGATCATCTACTCTACGGTAGACGGCCTCTTGGGCCATCTACTCTATGGTAGACGGCCTCTGGGGCCATCTACTCTATGGCAGACGGCCTCTGGGGTCATCTACTCTATGGCAGACGGCCTTTGGGACATCTACTTTATCCTTACCTAGACTGAGGTATTTTTTTCTATAGAAAAAAATTTGACCTCAGTTAGACTGAGGTATTTTTAACTTAGTATTTTTTCTATAGAATCTGACTTCAGTATTTTCCTCTTTAGAAATAATTCTGGACTCAGTAGCTGAGGATTTTTTTCATATAAAATAATTGTTGCACTTATAATAAATATTTTTACACATTTTTGAAAAAAAAAATCATTCAAAATTGCATAACTTTTACGGGATGACCCCCTTTTGCCGCAAAATACGGATAACACAAATATTTCCCATAAATAAAATGAGGCCCCCTTCACTCTTGTTGTTGTAAATTATTTGTGTAAATGTGTGTCTGTGTTTTGGTTTCAGTTTATTTTTCGAATTGTTGTCTTTTGTAGAAACGGAAGGCGAAAATCCAAATTACAACCAAAATAATTGTAAACATTTTGTTTACTTTCAAAATGTTGTTGGTGCTGTTGTTGTAGATTGACTTTTCGTTTTAGCCAATTCTCCACTTCATGCATACCACAAGTTTATCTGTCTGTCCGGCCGACAATGCGTCCGTCCGTCTGCATGTCTAAATGAAAAAATATTTTTGGGCTCGAACAAACCAAGCGATTGTCAGCCAGGCATACGCCACACATTCACATGTGCTGGTGTTGTGCTCTTTTTTCAATCAAGTCAGCCAGTCCGTCAGTCTTGTTGGCCGTCGAATTGCTTGCTTGGTTTGTTTGTTTGCCTCACTTAAACTTTTCGGTTTACGTTTTCATGTAATTGTAAATATCTCTGAGCAATTGTAAGATTGCGGTCGTTCGACGCTGGTTCAGTCCAGCGGTGTGGATGAGGTGGGGAGGGATGTGGTGTGGTGTGGTGTGCTGAGAGGTAATGGAATGATGGCCGTCGTCGTCGTTGTTGCTGTTGTGTGTTTAGTTTTGCAAGTTGTTCGCGTTTAATTTTAGCTCTATTTTTGTCTTAATCATCACATCGGAATGTTTTCGCTTTAAAGCTTTTTGTTGTTTTTGCGCTTCTACTTCACTTCATTTTTATATAGCCCGCGTGTGTGTGTGTGTTAGCGCTTTTTTGTTTATTTTTCGCTATGTTGTTTCAAATATTTTTTTACAAATGCTGCCAGAGTTTGAGTGAGCGACCAGTGAGCGAGAGAGCGAGCGAAAAAGAGGTGTTAAGGTGAAGTGATCTGGCATGAAGTACCGCAGACGGGGGCACCACGTAAACGTATGGTAGAGCAGAAGTTGTCAGGCGATCTCAAATGATCATTGTTGCCGTCAGTGTCATATTTGTGAAACTAGTCAAAAGAGCGAGAGATACTTCAAAGTTTTTTTTTTTGTTGTTTTTATTTTCTGTTTTGCCAAACATTATTGCATTGCATTGCACATGCATACAGCTAGCTAACTTTTGCATGAATGCATGCAGATCCAAGTATCTATGTGCGGTGTATATTTCTATCTATATAGGCATGTTGGCTTTGAACATATTTCAGTACTCAGTTAAAAAAAAAAACAAAACTAAACGAAAACAACACCAGCAAATGTTGTTATTTAGCCAGTTGTGTTTGAAGGTATTGGTGAGCGTTTTTTTTTGTCAATTTTTGCTGTCTACAAATAGTTAAAAGTTAACAGATAGACAAATTCCGCAATACACCAAAAATGTGTGTGGAGCAGTGTTGTTGTTGCTGTCGCTTGAATACTTGGTTTACTTTGTTATTGTTGTAGTTGAAGCTTTTTTTTTATTTTTTGTAACAAGTAATTTTAACTGTCAGCCTATTTGGCCAATTTCAATGGACATTCATTACCTGAAAAAATGAGTAAAATATTTTTTTTCCTTCATTTATTTTTTTGCTGGAATTTTTCAGATGGCAACAAAATTTTTGTTGTTGTTGCTTTTTTGTATTGAAGTGCCGTTTTGGCTTATAATTGTGGATACCCATAAAATTATGATTTATTTGCATGGTCAAACAATTATTTCTTTAACAAAATTTTTCAAATTGGTATTTCGTAGGGGTCAAAGGACCAAACATTCGAGCAAAATTTTCAATAATGATATAACTACATTACTGTGAGAAATTAAAATTTAAATGAGATAAAAAAACTACTACAAAGTCAAACGCCATAATTCTTACATTTTTTTAAATTTTATTGAACGAAAGCAAAAAATGTCGGAAATAGCATCAAATTCTAGAAAAAGTTTAGATTTGTTCGAATTGGTTACCTTTGGCACGAATTATGGCCTTGAAACGGCCAATGAAACCGTCACACGCTGCCCGAATGTTTCTCTGCGATATTTTGGCCCATTCCCGGTGATCGACACTTTGGAATTTATTAGTGCCAACCTTGCTTTCCAAAATACTCCAGACACAATAGTCCAACGGACTAGTATCCGGAGATTTTGTTGGCCATTGTGCGCTGGAAATGAAGCGAGGAACCTCATTGCCGCGTGCTGAGTCCTGTTGGAATGTCCAAACTGTTTGCGTGCCCAAGGCTTTAATACACCCTCCAGAATATTTTCGCGTTAATATTCGGCATTTATTCTGATATCGATAAATGCGAGCGGAGAGCGACCATCGGCTGTTATGGTGGCCCACACCATCATCATGATCGGTGCTTGAGTTCCAGTGGCCAACCGAAGGTGCACATTTTCAGCTGACCTCTTTGGCAAGTAAACACGATAATTTTGATTGTTTGCAAACTGCTGGGCAACGAATGTTTTCTCATCCGAGAAAACCAAATTCGGCTGTTCACCCCTTTCGGCCAAGCGAAGCAACTCTAACTCTTTTGAGCTTTTGGTGACTGTAGTTGAGAGAAAGAGGTGATTTTGGAAATGCGTTCTATGGTTGTTCGAAAAGTTTTAAATGTTACTAAATTTCCCGTCAACTAAATGGATTGAGCTAAAATTCGAAAATTTGATATTGAGGCCACTGTTGGTGGACTTTTCGGGCACTTGCTAGTAAGTTATATTTTATTTTCAAATAAAATAATTAATCTTTAGCAAACAGAATTTATTTTCATTTGGATTTTTAAAGGTCCCTAACACAATTACTCATGTTTACGTTTTTTTCTTCTTTCCCCCAAAAGGAACACCCTTTACTTCATGGTAAAATTTGAACATATGGCAAATACATATGTATACAATTTTATTTCTTAAAATGAAAATGAGTTTCATTTACGCTAAATAATTTTTGATGCTTTGCTTGTTGTTCTCGTTTTGTTTTTTTTTTTTTTTGCTATTTAATTTTTTCCTCACAATTTTTACAAAAAAAATCGAAAAAAAAAAGAATAAACGAGGCAACGTAATGCGCATACCAGCACGAGGCTAATGCTGACGTTAATTTTTCAATTTGCTGAAATAATATAACCAAAAGAAAAAAATATTTCTGTTGAATATTTCCACTGTTTATAGAATAAAAAAGATGGACCGGACCATACATACATCCACCCGCCCCTCCATCTATCCAACATTTAATACACACAGAACCAAATTCAATGAGTGAGTGAGCGTGTGCTGCTGGCTGCGCTGTGTTTGTAAAATGTTAGCGGGTGATTGGCAATTGAAAATATTTTTCAAATTTCTAGATTTCGGTATGGTGTTTGCTTGCTACTCAAATAAATAGTAGAAATCAACATAAAAAATATTATTTTTGTTTTGGAAGGAAGAAAGGGGGTTTTTTGGTTCGTTTGTTATTTTTCAAACCGGCAAAACAATGCCAAATTCCAATCCATCAGACATTTCGACATTATAAAAATAACAAAAAAAAAAATGAGAATCGAAAAAATCTGAAATATGTGTACATATATACACCTATATGTGTATACCCACAACACACCTACATGTAAAAATTTTAAACCCGAGGGGATTCATTAAAATATGTATATTAATAACCAAAAAAAAAAAAAAAATGACGACAAAAGAACAAAACCAGACCACCACCAGTCAAACAATCAAACACATCTGTTGGCATAACACCAGCAAATTC